CGTCTTCAATTGTAAAAAAGTATGGAACCAACGTATCTTTTAAAATATCCCCAAAGTCTAATAAAACATTAGGTGAGTATGTTTGTGTGTGTAAAGTATGGATGTAAGTGTATATCTAAATGTATTAGTATATGGACTGTATGTTAAGATCATATATATTCCTTTACCTTTATAAAAAAATATACCATAAATAACTACAACACCCCTAATGAGGGGGGGTCTATGTCCAGCAGTGGACAGTTAATGGCTGATATGATGATGATGATGATGATAAATTATTTTTATATTTTTAATATTATTGCCAGTAATGGGGTCTAATAGCTCCATTGCTAGCAATATATACCAGGTCACGCCTGGAAATTATTTCATTTATTTAATTACAATTTATTTATTCGCTACAATACTGCATTGTGTTGTATATTTTTTACAAGTAACAAGAAGTAATCATAAAATATAACAAAACAAAAAAAAATGAAGCAACAAAATAACCAATAATAATTGTCAAAAAATACATTACAATCAATTTACAAATGTCATTAAGTAAGGCATAAAATATTAGAAGAGTATTTTAAAATTCATCAATTGAGTGGATGCACCTTTCCAAAAAAAGAGTATAAAGTTTTAATTTCAAAATACTCTAATCTTCAATAGTTTTTAATGCAGTGGGTAATTTATTGTACAATTTAACCGCTTGAAATTTTGCGCCATGTTTCACTATATTTAGTTTAGGTTGGACATCATATGCAACATCTTTTCGTCTACAAATCATGCGTATATTTCTCTCTTCTCTCGTTTCATTTGGCAGACTATTCTTAACAGTCTGTAACCACAATCAATATATACAAACTGGGTATAGTAAGAATGTATTGTTACTTTCTGGTGAATTTATCACGATGGACCAAAAGACTTGACTTCATCATCACATGTGAGAGATGATAAATCACTCACATGTGCCTCGTCACTGATAGTGCACGCGGAATTGTCATTTTATTTTCAATCCATTTAAAGAATCATCATGCATAATAATACGAATGAAGTCATGAGTAATTACTAGTGAAACATTTATAATTAGAGGCACTAATGTTTTTAATTAAAAAGTACAAACGATGTTTTTTTTTTTTGTACTCAATATAGTCATTACGTTCGTACAACGACGCTAAATGATTGGTACTTAAAATTACTAATTACTATAGCAGTAACTAAAATTAAGTAGATTATATGTTAAACAAAGAGATTTACTGATCATTTTAATTTTCCACTAACAATAATAAAAAAGGAATTGAACAGTCTGTAATTATTTTTGATGCATTTAATATCTATAGCAATAAAATAAAACCATTATGTTTAAAAACAACCAAAGAGTTGGACGATGTAAAAAAAATTATAAATACTGTGTAAAGAAATGTTGATGGTACAGTATTTAGTTTACAAGAAGCAGATATTGAATATAAAGCGTTAATAAAATTCGAAAACGAAACAATATTGAAATGACGAATAAAGTATTTTTCGAAAAATCATTGAAACTAACCAAATTAACATTATACATTTCTGGAATACAAATCAAACGTTCAAACAACAATAGATTTGTACAGAAGTTGTTCTGTTATGTGTTTTATTTTAATTTCTCATTCATATACACGGATATAATTGGGGAATGCTGGTGGCTACTTGACGCGATTGTATTGGGCAAAAATTTTCTCGAACTTTCTTTCTCCATTCCGTGTATACTAATATCTGTTTTGGGTACTGTTAAAGCTGTGTTTATTTTTCATCACCAAGACTTGCTTATTAAAGTCGTCAATAAATTGAGAGGTATACATCCGGAGCTGGATGATGAAGATATAGACGAAGTTCAAGCAAAGATAGTTAAAGATTCAGTGAAGCTCGTGAATTCGGTAGTTTCACTGATGTTTTACGTATGCGCCCCGGTGACAATAGCTTTTCCTCTCGTGTCAATTTTTAAAATGATCAGCTATTACAACCAGACTGGCGAATTGAAGATTACGTTTCCATATCTTGTGGCATACTTCTTCGATCCATTTACTAGGGAGAGGTGGCCGTTCGTGTTCCTTCACCATATTTGGTCAAGTGAGTATCGAATCTCTATGACTTTATTTTCTTTATACAATCTCGCTGTCTTCTTATATTATTTAATAAGAAAATCTTTTAGAATAATACAGAATATATCTTCAATTATACAAATATATTAATAAGTAGTCGAAAAAGGAGTTTTTTTTTTTCAAATCTGTGATACTGAAATATGTCTTTTATTATCTTATTATCCTTCTCCTTTTAGACAAGCTAGCAAATGAAATAAAAATAATTTTCATTTATTTCCGTTGCAATATGTACGGGCAAACGTAGTGTGGGACGACCCCCCACTAGATGGAGTGACGACTTCTAATATATTGCAGGGAGTTAGTAGATGCAGGTGGCTCAGGACCGTTAGTTATTCTATGGGAGAAGCAGGAAGCAGTCTATGGGGGAGACCTATGTCTAGCATTAGATGGATAATGGCTGAAATGAAGATGTGCGAAGATGATGTGCGAGCCAATAATATGTAAAAGTATATCAAATTTTAAATCAATAGCATTTAGTAGTTAAGATATAACACTGTGAAAAATGGACGGATGAACGGATAAAGTAGCACCATTAAGGTTCTTTTATGCTTTTTGGTATAGAATCCTAAAAACTATTAAAGATTGCTGGGCTTAATTTTGTTTTTGACGTTTTTGACCTATGTTTCTTTGGGAAAAGTGTACAGTTTTTACATGTTTTTTTAATTTAGATATCACCCTGCATGTTGTTTCTTAGAATTATTTTGGAGTACGTTATCATCTTCATCTTATCAGCTTTTACCTTGGGAGGTTATACCAGTAGTTACCACACTTGACAGGCTGGTTGGCATCAGCAGTTAGGACTGCGGTTGCCAACCAGCCTGCCAAGCTAACGGCTGAAATAATATTATTTTACTCATATAATTATTTTTTTTTAATTTTTAATGATCTAAAATATAAATCAGTTAAATTAAAAATAGGCGATCAATTTGGAAGGTTTACATAATTATAATATGATATGCACATAAATTCAAAACATATGTTCTATTAACATTATAATTTAATACTTTTGTGTGTCATTATGACAGCCATGGAGAGAGTATACTGTTTCGCCCATGATACCCCCATGCGTTGCCATTCCTGAGGACTAAGGTGTTATTCCTCTGTACCTAGTAAATTCACTTCAGTTATTAATAATAATTCAATCCAAGTATGTAAAGTGAATAAATAAATGTCACTTTACGATGCGATATAGTCGTCAAGTTCATACTACGATGATCGACATTTACGTATATATTACTAATTATGGTACCAATAATTAAAATTGAGTAAATTATATGGTAAAGACAATATTATATTGACGTCAAAGAGATTTACTGAACATTTTGTATATTTTCCACTAATGAATAAAATAGATGGAAATGAAAGTATATAAGAGATCTGCAATATCTTTGATGCATTTATAACATCATTGTATCATACAACATCGAAAGAGTGAGACGACTTAAAAAAAGAATTGGCAGATACTGGGCAAAGAAATGTTGATTATACAATAACAACATATTTATTTAATAAAAAAAACACAGATATTCTATGTAAAGTGTTATTATTACAAAATTTTATTTGAAATACGAAAAATTTATAAAAATGACCAAATCATCTTTCGAAACATCATTAAAACTAACCAAATTGATATTTGTATTTGCTGGAATACAAATCGCACGTAAAAAGAATAATAGATTTGTACAGAAGCTACTCTTCTGTGTGTTTTATTTTCATTTTTCATTCCTATACTCGAATATAATTGGGCAAAGCTGGGGGGTATTTGATGCGATTGTAATGGGCAAAAGTTTCCTAGAGATTTCTTTTTCTATTCCCTGTATAGGAATATCTGTTTTGAGTACTGTTAAAGTTGTGTTTCTTTTTTATCACCAAGATTTGCTTATTAATATCGTCAATAAATTGAGAAGCATACACCCGGAGGCGGATGATGAAGATATGGACGAGATTCAAACAAAGATAGTTAAAGATGCAGTGAAGCTCTTGAATTTGGTAGTTATGATGCTTGTTTACATAACCGTCTCGGTGACAATAGCTTTCCCTATTGTCTCAATTGTAGCAATGGTCAATAATTATAACCATACTGGCGAATTTAAGGTTGTTTTTCCATATATAGTGACATACTTCTTCGATCCCTTTACCAGAGAGAGGTGGCCGTTCGTATACCTTTATCATGTTTGGTCAAGTGAGTATTGAATCTACACGACTTTTTTTTGCAATTTGGAGTAACAAATTAAATTGTGTTCCACAAAAAGCAACCCGATTTCAATTGTGGCAAAACCAATATAGACAAAACTCATATATATCTTTTTTTTCGACCTCAACACTTTGCCTTTGTACTTTGCATTTTAGTACTCGACATAACTAAATTAACTGTGCACATGTAAATGAACAATACCTAGAGATTAAATTATAACTTTGTCCTTATCATTATGTCTAAATCTCGTAGCATTACACTATAAACGCGCGAAGTCACCAAAATGCAAAACAGTGTGTTTCGATCCGAAACATAGATCTAATTCCTTACCATTCTTTTTCTAAAAGAAAAAATCTATTTGAATATTACAATAAAAAAACAATTTAAAAATGACTCCGTAAGTACAGGATTAATTCGTGGTCTGATTTTATAATACTTCCCGAAGTAATATAATATTATCCACCTAATAACCTGCGGAGACAAATTAACTTTCTTCTCGGACTATCCACAGTGTGTAAACTTTCTAATATCTAATACCATAACTTTGGTGGTGCTACAATAATAAAAATGAAATAAAAAAAATAATATATTATATAAAAAATATTTTCTAATATTAAGTATACGTTTCTACCAGAGGGAGACTTTGTACAAAAGTCAATTGCTTGGGTACCTCTGTCTCATTCGTGTGTCTACCGTGAAGCAGTTGTGTTTGCATGGCTGTGTTTCGGTTTGAAGGGTGGGATATAGCGTGAATTTACTAGGTACAGAGGAATAACACCTGAGTCCTCAGGAATGGCAACGCATGGGGGGTATCATGGGCGAAACAGTATGCTTTGTTATATCCATGGTACTGCTCATGTCTATAGGCGACGGTTACCATTTTCATCAGGTGGGCCGTCAGCTTGTTTGCTATTCTAAGTTGTATAAAAAAAAAAAGTTAAAAGGACAGTAGATAACTTATTAGGTACTAATTAAAATATAAAAGACGTATTTTACGATACGATCTACTCATTAAGTTCTTTCTTTATAAGATGACAGATGATTGATACCTACATACCAATTAGTATAGGCACTAGTAATTAACATGAAGGAGTCTAGAATGTTGAAATAAAAGGGATTTATTTATTAAGTTGTTTGTTGTTGACGAACAGTATACGGAATATTATATTGTCCTGGTTTAGTCTCAAAATGAGAGCTGTAATTAAGTTTATTACATTATTACTTACAATAGTAAATTTATCATTGTATTTCATAGCGTCGAAATAGTTAGTCGAATTAAAAAAAAAATTAGATAGAACATTTTATAAAACTAGATTCGGCTATTTTGTGATTTAAAAAAGTCATTAATATCAATATAATAATGTGGAGAATATAAATATAAATAGATTTCTTTTAATAGTTAAATGTAACGGGATATTTTAATTAAGATACTGGAAACACAAAAATGACTAAAGTCGTTTTCGAAAAATCATTAAAACTAACTAAATTATCACTATTAATTACTGGTATACGAATCGATCGAACAAATTACAATAGATTTGTGGCGAAGCTGCTTCACTATCTATTTTATTTTAATTTATCATTCCTATATACAGATATAGGTGCAGAATTTTGGTGGTTCTTTAAAGAGATGCAAACTGGCAAAAGTTTTCTGGAACTTTCCTTTTGTGCTCCGTGTATAATAATAGCTCTTTTAGGAACTGCTAAATGTGTGTTTCTTTTTTACCACGAAGATTTAATTATTAATGTTCTCAACAAACTGAGAAGTATGCATCCAACATTAGAAGGAAATGATGTCCCAGATGTAGATGTAGACGAAATTGAAGAGAAAATAGTTAAAAATTCTGTGAAATGCTTGAATTTAGTCATTTCACTATTGTACTACGTTTGTACTCCAGTTGTAGTCTCGTTTTCCCTTATACCAGTTGTATCAATGGCTTTTCATTACTATCAGACCGGTGAAACTAAGTATATGTTCCCATATCAGGTGATATATTTCTTCGATCCCTTTACTAAGGAGAGGTGGCCGATCGTGTACCTTCACCATGTTTGGTCAAGTGAGTAATAGAATCAATGTATTATTTTTATAAAAGGCCTATGTTCAGCAAAGGACGGATAATGGCTGAGATGATGATGTTGATGTTTCACCAAAGGTGTGATAAAATTAAATGAAAATTCTATTGTTCTTACTACAGAGATAAATTAAGCAGAAAAAGAGTGAAATATTTATGGCTTCTAGATTAGTTTTAAAAATTAAGGACCTTCAAACAAAACTTTTACTTTTGTTACAGAGTACTTTAGAATCCCAAATGGATCTTCTATACAGGGTGAAATCATTAGCGTGTTTATAAAAATAAGAATCTATCGATAACATATAAAATAGTAAAATAGAAATTTCTCGAGTCAAAAACTTAAAACGCGGCAAAAAATTATAATTGTTATTTAAATTTCCGTTTTACACTACTGTTGTCCACTCACTAACTCCTATGTCATTGTGTTAGGTTGATTGGAAGATAACTCTTTTAGAGATAAATTCATCTTTGCTCACATTATTTCTAACTGTTATTATTATCTACTGTATGTTTAGTGTAATTAAGAATATTCAAAACTTTTAAGTCTGTAGTACTAAGGATTTTTATCGTTTTTCGATCTTCATTTCTATAGTGAAAATGTTTTTTTTTTTTATTACAAGTTGGATTTGTACTTGATCTTACCTCACTTGACGGTAAGAGTAATAATAAGGTCTTGGACTAAGTGCTTACTCAGAATACATTTATGAATATACCATCGTTTTGAAGAATCCAAAATTTTAAACTGAAAATTCTCATCAAAAAATGCTAAAGATTTCAATTTTACTCTATCTAAGTTTCTGGAACTCATTCTCTTTCTCTTTTTAAGATAGTTCATTAGCTTTTATTTTTTTCAGCTGTGATAGTAGCGGCATACGTTTTCGGCTCAGACACACTATTCTACGCTCTATGCACGTACATACAAATGCATTTTAAGATATTGCGCCATCGTTTTGAGAACATGGTAAAAGATTCAACCGAGGAAACTCGAGCTCAACTGGTGAAGAATATTGTGAGACATCAGGAACTTATTGAGTGAGTATTCATAGAATAGGTGGACAGGACAGGTGAAAGGTAATATACTAGATACGGAAACGTCTTAATTATCAGATACTTTAGTGGCAAACAAATGTATTGGTAATTAGGTTTTAGGGTTTGCAAGAAAAAAAATATAAGATGCAGGATTTCTTTATGCAACTTAAAATAGGAAATAAACTGACTGTCTACTTGATGGAAAGTAATAACCGTCGCCTATAGACATGAACAGTACCATAGACATAACAGAGTATACTGTTTCGCCCATGATACCTCCCATGCGTTGCCATTCCTGAGGACTCAGGTGTTATTCCTCTGTACCCTGTAAATTTACTGTCATATCCCACCCTTCAAACCGAAACACAGCCATGCAAACGACTGCTTCACGGTACAAACACGAATCTCTCTCTTATTTATTAATACCATATCATTTCACATTTTTTTTTATACAACTTAGAATAGCAAACAAGCTGACGGCCCATCTGATGGAAAGTGGTAACCGTCACCTATAGACATGAGCAGTACCATGGACATAATAGAGTATACTGTTTCGCCCATGATACCCAGGTGTTATTCCTCTGTACCCTGTAAATTCACGCTATATTCCACCCTTCAAACCGAAACACAGCCATTACATTATTTATTAACAATAAGCAATATGTCTTATGGGCGAAAGGGATTGTTAACAATGGAGTTTGACAGCCCCATTGCTAGCAATATGCCTTATTAGGTCGACCTCCACGTGGTTCCCCCTGGAAACCATCGTGAACAATTCTTGTTGAATTCGTCACGATGGGCTAACTGATCTGCTTCATACTCACCTATCATCCTTCACTGGTGCCCCGCCTGTGTATACCGATAGCGCGGGTGGGGTTACCATTCCATTATCATCCATTAAAAGAAAAATGTCTTATGATATTATATATCTTAATTACTTATAATATTTTGTAACTGAATAACGGAGATTTCCGATACACTGGGTATTGTTTTGACCACAATACGGGTTTTGCCACTTCTTGATTATGTGAACTGGGCTTTCCCTTGAGCGCGTTTTGTACAAAATGGCGTCCGATAATTAATTGCCTCGGTGATATTTTATAGGCGGAATGAGGTTAGGTACTAATGTCTGGGTTTGTGGTTTACTTATTATTATCATATTAGAATTAGACATTAACTGTCCACTGCTGAAGCTTGCTGCCCCTTGACCGGTTTTGCCAGTATCTGCTACGTTTGATAGGTAAGCTGGTAACCGCAGTTACGCTTTTGGTGATGTTTTATGAGGGACGCTGCTGCCCATCTCTCTACCATTACATTCACTTAGTCGCCTCTTACGACACCCACGGGAGGTCAAATTTATGCCAGGACCACATGGCATGTGGTGTATGTAGATTTCCTTAATAACGTATTGATAGCCAGCAATGCAAAATGTTGCATGCAATACAAAAATAAAAAATGCTTAAATCTAAATTTACTGGAATAAAAATATTTCTTTCTTTCTTTCTTTCGTCCTAACTCAAAAAAATGATTTTCATTAAAAATATTTGCATTTAGACTTTTTGTATATACAATCCAAGACAATAAATGTATTTCGATGAAGTCACAATCATCGGTGATTGAAAAATGATAATAAAGAATTTTTTAAAATAAAAAAAAAAAATCTATAATAATTTATAAAACCGACCGCGCAACTTTTAATGGTAATTTAGCCGTAACATTTATTTTATATTACTCACCCCCTTGATATTGTGTAAAATAAGCAAAGACTCAGTTTTGTACGGAGCGTGCGTAAAGGAAAGTTCTTTTAAAGTTATTTTGTGGAACAAAAAAACGTGACTTCGACGGAGAACATAATTATGTGGGTATTAATAAAAGAAGAGATTTTTTGAATAGAAAAAATATTTGAATTTGGAACGCGGAATCGTGTATGTATTTACAAGAAGAGGGTAAGGGGATTATTACTAAAGAGATCCATTACTAGCAACCCCAACAGGTTGACCTCCATGCGGTTCCCCTTGGAAACTAACGTAGTTATTTTTTGATAAATTCGTCACGATTGGCCAACTGACCTGTTTCATCCTCCCCTGTCATCCCTCACCGATGCCCCGCTAGCGTTAACTAATAGCGCAAGCGGGGTTACTATTCCATTCTCATCCATTAAAAAAGGAATCGACAAGTATATTTTGCTTCCCAACAAACAATTTTTCTTTCACAAGAAAAAACAGTAGATTTGATAATAGCATTACTAAGATAGTAATTCTATTAATATTCTAAATGCGAAAGTTTCTAACAATGGATTTTGATGTTTATTACTTTTTACGTAAAAACTACTTTTGAATGAAATGTGGTACACGGGTAGCTTATGTTCTAACTTAGCACATAGGATACATTACGTACTCATTCACGCGATTAAACCCGCGGGATGCAGCTAGTAAATTAATATGAGACTAACAAGGGAGTTAACTTTATCACTTACATAAAGAACTGTGAAAATCGCTTTAAAATTGGCGTCGTCATCGCGTATAATAGCTACAAAGAATGCAGACAGACTGAGGATCTCCTCTTTCGATTCTTGAAGTCAGAAAGGTTGGTTAATTTAAAAAAAAAACTCATAATTGACTCGCTTAAAGATCGTGTGTATACTCGCAATACCTGCGGCTTTGCTCACGTGCATTAATATTTAAAGTATATTTTGATTTAAGATATTTTTTCTTTCCCGCTGGTGTCGTAAGAGGCGACTAAGAAAACTTAAAAGTCTAGGGATGGCCAGTAGCGTCTCTTAAAACAACACCAAAGCCTAACTGCGGTTGCCAACCTGTGGCAAAACAAAGCAAAACCTGTGGGTTTTGCTAGTAGTTGCCACGCTCGGCGCACGAACGATACTGTGGTAGTGTGGTCTATACGCGACGGTTACCATTTTCCATCAGGAGGCCGTCAGCTTGTTTGCCATTCTAAATTGTATAAAAAAAACCCCAAACCAGACCCCAGACCTCCCGTCTGTGTATAGCAGTTGACATTTAATATTATATATATATATATATATATATATATATATATATATATATATATATATATATATATATATATATATATATATAGCTAATATGGTATTGTTATAACCTACCCATGTACCAAATTTCATTCGAATCCTTTAAATAGTTTTCGCGTAAAAAAGTAACAAACATCCATCTGTATGTCCATTAAATAGAAGTAGAGTTTATTCTCTTTGGATGGTGAGCCCGCCTATGACGGCGTGTTCAGAAGTCAGATTCATCACAGTAAACATCAAATTTGCATACAATGCGTGCGTGCGGCCATGCGTCGCCAGTGATGCATGCATGCACGAACAGACGGACGGTTTAAACTGTTTATTGTATTATTATAGTGTATATGTTCATATAGCTTCTGTGGCCTCGTAACAATCGCGTAGGAAGGCTGCGAAGGTTTGGAATCCTTTTATTATAAGGATAAATGTATATCTCATATAACTGTAAGTTAGGTAATACTTTGGAATCAACTTCCAGTAGCAGTATTTCCAAACCGATACAACATTATAACCATCAAGAAAAGAGCATGTTCCTTTTTAAAATGCCGGCAGCACACGGTGATCATGGGCGGCGGTAGTCATTTACCATTAGGGGAGCCGCATGCTCGTCTACCCCCTGTGTTGTAAAAAAAACTTTATTAATAAAGTAGTAAATCGAAGATATTGAATAAATTATATATATAACATGATATACTTTTTTAATTTTTTTCTCTGTTTATTTCGGCATCACGCACAAATTTACCTTTAGTTACCTACTTCCAAATTCCACGCGTGTGAAGTCGAGGTCAAAAGTTAGTGATTTATATTTTAATAGTAGTATAAAATAAAGTCCACTGCTGAACATACCTTCCCATAGACTGCCATAAAGGAAGGTGAGCTTCTGAGCCACCTGTATCCACTGGCTCCCATCATTGTTTAGCAGTAGACAGTTAACTGTGAGAGATGATATAACTAGAGATAGAGAAGATATATCTAAATAAGTAGGTAATAGCGTCCGTGCGAAGCCATTTAATAAAACATTCATGACAGACAGACATGCATAGCTTATTGATGAACAGATTTTATGACAATTTGGACTTGATAGTCTATGGACGACTGCAATATATTTAGGTTTCTTTTATGACACTCCCTAAGAATAAATCCCGTAATTCCCACGGGAACGGAAGTCCATAATATCCCCAGGTAGTGGACAATATTTTTTTATTATTATTACTTACGGTTTTTGAATAGTTTACAGCTTTTGGGGACTTGTTATGACCGCTTAAAACATGACATTTTTACAGATTAATTTGTGCTGCCCTGCTAAAGTCATAGACAATAGTGGCCAGTTTGTAGTCGAAACTGCAAAGTTTTTAAAAGTTACAAACTTTTAAAAACTTGACAGAATAATAAGCCTAGTTTCAATTATTAAGCGATTTCCAGAAGAAGTTGATTCTCAATTCATTTTTTAATTGTATTTTTTTGGTCGTATTACGCAGAACTGCATAATAATTTTTGATGTAATCGAATTGAGATTATATTGAAATAACATCTACTAAATGTCAAATCCTATTAATTATCAAATGTGAAAATTTGACGATAAACAATGGATGGATGAATGAATGTTATTCTTTCACACAAAAACTACTCAACGGATTTGAATGAAATTTAATACACGGGTAGGTTATATCCTAACTTAACACATAGGATACTTTACATACTAATACATGTGTGTATAGCTCCAGGATTCGGCTAGTAGTAGAAAAATTAACGTCAATTTACTTTAATTATTTTATACTATTAATTTTGTTAATTTATTCATTTACATCAAAAGTCTTCTCGTCAATTTTCACAATCGATGGTGTTTGTTTCCATCAGAGTCCCATTTTAATTTTATCATAATTAAAACTGCTATTTTTATTTGCGACACAATTAAAAACGTTTCGAAGCAAAATTTCGCTATTTGTGAAGCGAAATATATGAGTAAGTACATGCAGATACGTAATTCCGTGTTCTAAATTCAAGTAGTTTCAATGTAAGTTCCCAATCTATGAAACAGCTCGTCGTTTACTGTTTGTGTGCGTGCTCGTTGAAGCAACTTTTTGCGAAGCAAAATGTACTTATTTACGAAGTAATAAATACTCATTATCATATTAATTGCAGGCTGGTGAATCAAGTCGAGATTCTATATTCGAAATCGACGCTTTTCAACATTGTCACGAGTTCTGTCCTTATATGCCTAAGCGGATTCAATATAACGGTAAATTTTAATGTGTATTACCGTAATTTGATAAATAAACTGTTAGCGTATCTAGGTATCGGTAAATATCGGTATAGTAACGGGGCCTAATCCCCTCACTAGCACTATCTTCTCAGGTTGACCCCCACTCTTTTTTTTATATATATATTTTTTATACAACTTAGAATGGCAAACAAGCTGACGGCCCACCTGATGGAAAGTGGTAACCGTCGCTTATAGACATGAGCAGTACCATGGACATAACAGAGTATACTGTTTCGCCCATGATACCCCCCATGCGTTGCCATTCCTGGTTTCGTTGTAAATTCATGGTTTCCTAACAATCCCTTTTCCCCTCCCGTGGGTGTCGTAAGAGGCGACTAAAGGACGGCGAGGAATGAACAGCAGCGTCACTCTTAAAACATCTCCAAAGCCTAACTAAGATTGCTAATCCGCCTGCCAAGGGTGTCAACTACTGGCAAAACCCCCCAAAGGAGGCTTATGTTCAGCAGTGGCCAATTAAAGGGTGATATGATAATGATGAACTTACAGTTTATGATGATGATTTTATATGTTTTAGACCCTGAAAGATACATCGGTGATCATACTGTTTGGCACCTTCTTGTATATGAGTTTATCACAAATATCATTGCTTTGTTATTTCGGAGATCTACTTATGAATTCGGTAAGTTAATATACTTATCAAGTTATACATTGTTGTCTCTTTAACTGCCGCAGACAGATTTATCTTACAGGCGACTTTTCTATGTTTAGTTTTTCAATTTATTGTACTGCCTACTTTTTTATGCAACTTAGAACGGTAAACATGCTGTCGAACCATCTGATGGAACCGTAGCCGATGCCTATGAGCAGTACCATGGACATAACAGAGTATACTGTTACGCCCATGATAGCTCCCATGCGTTGCCATTCCTGAGGGCTCAGGTGTTATCCTTCTGTACCTTGTAAATCCACTGCCATATCCCACCTTTCAAACCGAAGCCATGCAAACACAACTGCTTCACGGTAGAAACACGAATAGGACAGAGGTACCCAAGCATTCGACTTTTGTACAAAGTCTCCCTGTGGTAAGTATAATATAAAATGTGTTTTGAATTAAGCAGTAAAAAGTAAATTGGACAGCTAGCAAAGAATATCATCTTTTATTAACTCTATACAAATATATAAATACAGATAGCTCAGTACCGTTCCTTATGGCAGTCTATGGGGGAGGCCTATGTTTAGCAGTGGACGAATAATGACTGAGATGATGATGACGATGATATAAATACAACATTAAACAAATTTAATTGTCACATTTTAAATTTACAACTAACTCTCCACTGATAGGAAACATAGAAAACAAACCGAATCAATCCGGCTGACGGCGGTAGGCTCGCCCCTGCTACATTAGATTCTAACGCTCAGCAAATGTAGGCAATTAATTTAAGTACTTTGGGTACGTACCAATTTTTTTTAATTTTTTTTTTTATTTCCAGAGTATCCAGTTAACTGGAGGTATATACAATTCGTTGTGGTACGAGACAGATCAAGAGATCAAGAAATGTATACTACTCATTATTATACGGTAACTTATATAGATAGATAGATAATTTATTTACATTACTTACAGCACACAAATTACAATAAAAAAAACATACACATAATACACAGTAAAAGAGATAAAAGAATGAAAATAAAAAAGCACAAATAAAAAAAAAAAAATATATAAACTAACAATCTCCTTTCTTTCCCTTCCTTCATGCGTGTGCCATAGTAACACAAAATGGTAACAACTCAGTTTATTGCTTTACCCTTAAAAGAGCAAAACACTGATGTTCTGTTGTGGCCAAGAGTCAGTCGCGAAACTCCTCATTAAAAATAACAATAAAAAGATATATAAATAAACTGTATTGTATGTGTCCATTACATTCGCCTCCATTTGATATTATATTCTAAATAAATAACAGATACCATTAGATGAGGGGTAGTCAGAGATCACTCTCTGTCACATTCAGGCATTCAGGCAATAAATATTTCCGCTACGTACCTATTAGGTATGCCAATTTTTTGTTTATTAATATAAAAATTTTTAGATATATAATTTATTTGCAATACTTACAGCACACAATTTATAACAAATACAGATATACATAAAACAAAAGCAAGATAAGAGAAATGATTAAAATAAAATACATAAAAGCCGAGAGACAATTTTTCCTTTTGTGCGTGTGCCATAACAATACAAAATGGTCACAACTCAGTTTATTGCTTCGCCCTCAAAAGAGCAAAACACTGATATCCAGTTGTGGCCGAAGGGTATAGGGTAACAATAAAACAATACTACTAGATTATCTATACGGTAAACAGCAATATGATAGTTAATCTAGCATACAAAAGGAACAGAGAGGTAACTTGCTGGAATATTTAACTTTTGCCTTTCAATTAAGGTTTTTTTTTAAATTAATTTTGAAGTTAGACTTAGTGGCGATCGATCTAATGGGAAATGGTATCTTGTTCAAACATTTTCTGGCTTTACATCGGAAGCTATGATTATAACTGGTATGGTAAGTCAAATTGGTAAATCCTGATTAGATAAAGATTTATTTATTTATTTATTTTTTATTTTACAGTAACATAAATACAGATCGAAATATACACATAGAGGTACAAAAGACAATCTTATCGCTAGGGCAATCTCTTACAGACAACCTTTGGTTAAAGGAGAACAGATAGAAATGGGCAGGTGGGGCAAGAGTGAATTAATAATTTTTACTGATATAACTTAAGATTTACCAATGTGTGGGCTTTTACAGTAACATATACATTGTTTTCTCATTGTGATTATTTCTTTTAATTGTTTATGTTTATAATAAGTTTACTATTGTAATCTTTTGGAGGTAACAATAAAGAGTATCTATCTATATACACTGTTATGTCACAGGACCCAAAAGCCATGCAAGCTGACGGCTGCGAAGTTTGCCGATTTGAACTTGAGTGCATTTACCACGGTATGTAATATTAATTAATAATATTTTAACATACTTTAAACAGAGGGAGACTTTGTACAAAAGTCGATTGCTTGGGTACCTCTGTCTCATTCGTGTTTCAACCGTGAAGCAGTTGTGTTTGCATGGCTGTGTTTCGGTTTGAAGGATGGGGTATGGCGTGAATTTACAGGGTACAGAGGAATAACACCTGAGTCCTCAGAAATGGCAACGCATGGGGGGTATGATGGGCGAAACAGTATACTCTGTAATGTTCATGGTACTGCTCATGTCTATAGGCGACGTTTACCACTTTCCATCAGGTGGGCCGTCAGCTTGTTTGCCATTTTAAGTTGTATAAAAAAAAATAGAAGGATGTTCTAAATTCAATTCTACGAGTTTCTTTTTCGTGTTTGTTACCTTATAACTTCATCAGTTATAAACTAATATGAAAAGATTTTTTTTTTTATCTCAAAGGATATACTCACAAATTGGTCCTATAGAAATTTTATTAAAATCGAATGAGTAGTTTAATTTTAGAAATAACTGGTTGTGCCACAATTTAAGTCGGTTTTTTTTTTTAAACGCCACCTTACATATTTAGACATTTAGCAATTTGGTACCCAATAATACCCATGATGGTTCCGAAGTATGTATGTTGCCATGCTTTAATTCTCAAAAGTGTCAATTTCCACCTTCAGGAGGGGATAGGGATTGCTAGTAATGGGGAATTTTATTATTATTATTAAGTAATGCTGTTGGACATAGGAGGAACTCTGTTAGGGGGTTAGTTAATAGTTATCACGCTTGGCAGGTGGTATGGCAACCGCAGTTTGACTTTTGTGATGTTTTAAGAGGGACGCTGCTGCTCATCTCTCTTTCATTAAGTTTTCTTAGTCGCCTCTTACGACATCCACGGGAATGGAAGGGGTAGCTTATTCTATGCCAAAACCATACAGCAGGAATGGGGATTCGAAAACCAATAGCATCAGGGCGCAGGCAGGGCGATCATTCCATTTTTATCTATTACAAAAAATAAACCATGTCAGATCGACCTCTACATGGTCCTCTCTGGAAAGCATCGTGGTTAATTCCTATCATATTGGTCATGATGAGCCAACTAACCTATCTTAATCCAGGGGGAAAGGGATTGTTAGTAATGGAGACTAAGAATCCTATTGCTAGAAATATACCCAACCAGGTCGACCTTCTCGCGGTTCTCCCTGGAAACTATCATGGTTAATTCCTGATGAATTCATCATGATGGGCTAACTGGCCTGTTTTCATTCTCATCTATCACCCTTCACTGGTGCTCCGCCAGCGTATTCCGTTAGCGCGGGCGGGTTACCACACCATTTTCACCCATCAAAAAAAAAAAACCTATCTTCATCCTCATCATTTTCCATTGATACCCCGCTGTTATATAATACATATTGTTTTTTTTTTTATTACAGATCCTCAGTCGCTCGTGGTCTTATTTCGCTCTGCTGAGAACTATGTATAAAGAATAAAAAGTTCTTTCAAAATTATATTAAGTAGTAATCAAGGGCTTTTAGTATCACTCAATTTAGTATTTTGTCTAAATGCACAAATGTTAGTTTTTATGTGTATATTTCAATCTGTATTTATGTTACTGTATTTCACTTGAATTATTCACTTGTCATTGTATATTTTTATTTATGGTGCAATATAGAGTTAAATAAATAAATAAATATTAGTAATATCTATTATTAATTCCTTTAATTATTCGAACAATTTAATTAATAGATAAAAAAAAGTTTCAAATGAGCTATTGTTCATTTCAATAGAATGTAAAAAAGTGGTAAGGGTAAGTTTTGTTACAATTATCACAGAAACATTCTCACGTTATAAAATCTAAACATTTTTTTTTATACCACTGAGGTGGCAAACAAGCATACGGGCCGCCTGATGGTAAGTGGTTACCGTAGCCATTCAATCAATCAAACGACTTTTAAAAAAAGAACGACGTTCTTTTTTTAAAAGCGTATTTTTTTATGTTCGTTACCTCATAACTCCGTCAGTTTGTAAATCGAATTGGAAAATTCTTTTTTATCTGAAACGATTATACAGACTTTATCAAATTTTATAAAAAAAAAAAATTAGAAAATTCTTTTTTTATCTGAAACGATTATACTTACAGGCTTTACCAAATTTTATATATATATAAAAAAAGACTCTCAATAATTTAGTTTTTAAAGCAAAATAACTGGTTTTGCCACAACTGAAGTTTTTTTTTAATACAATTTAATTATTGATTTGTATTATTATAGGATTATTTTATTTATACAGACTGTCTTATAGACGGATCAATTTTTTTTTTATTTTATTATCAATAAAAATACAAGTTACAGAATTTATGTTACATTAGCATTCAGAAACCACGTAGCACGCACAATTATGAGCTTATTTACATTTTTGCTCAGTTCTATTGAATGAGACTATACTTACTAAATTATCTACCGTATGCAATTGTGTTTTTACTATTACTGCCTACTAGGCACGGATATAATATGGATACCGATCCGATATTGCGTTCCTCTGGACACTGATGCCGGGAAAAAGGTCATCACCCGTTTCGATAACGCCCATATCGGTCGGATATCTATTTTCGAATATGTTAAGAAGTCCAATATTATTTTTTGGATAACAGACTTTTAGACCAGTAGGTATATACCAGTATATATAATTCTAACAAAAATATATAGATATTGCTATATATTACCGACCCTTTCATTTTTTTTTTGATGGGTGAAAATGGTATGGTAACTCCGCCTGCGCTAACGGCATATGCTAGCGGAGCACCAGTGAAGGGTGATAGAGTAGAATGAAAACAGGCCAGTTAGCCCATCATGATGAATTCATCAGGAATTAACCATGATAGTTTCCAGGGGGAACCGCGAGGAGGTCGACCTGGTTGGGTATATTGCTAGCAATGGGAGTCTCAGTCTCCATTACTAACAATCCCTTTCCACCCTGGACGAGTCTTATTGTTGGAATATTATTTGATACTCTTCTCTTATCATACAAGGATAACGACACTGATAACCTTAGTGGCTACGTCATGTATACCAGTTATAAATATTTATCTTTATTATACATATGTGACGTTCGTATGTACCTAGAGGGTTCCGCGTTTGATAAGATGTTTTTTTTTTTAAATCAATATGTATATAAATAGAACTCTAATACTGTAACATTTGGCGTTGTCTAGTCGTAAAGTATTTATTTTAGAAAAAAAGTCCTAAGGTAATTTTTTTTATGGGTGAAAATGGTATGGTAACCCCGCCTGCGCTAACGGGATACGATGGCGGAGCACCAGTGAAGGGTGATAGATGAGAACGAAAACAGGCCAGTTAACCAGGAGAACCGCGAGGAGGTCGACTTGGTTGGGTATATTGCTAGCAATGGGATTCTCAGTCTCCATTACTAACAATCCCTTTCCCCCCAGTCCTAAGGTAATTAGAATATGGACTGTTTAAGTGGATGGAAATTCAATGGTTTTATTGGGATTATAATTGCTAAAATGTATGATGGTTTCTAGGGGCACCACGTGGAGGTCGACCTGACAGAGTATATTGGTAGCAATGGGACTGGTAGTCGACATTACTAAACTTTTTTTAATGAGTAAAAATGACCGGGCACCAGTGAAAGATGATAGGTAACAACGAAAGGTCAGTTGGCCCATTGTGACAAATTTAATAAAAAAATATCCATGATGGGTTTTCCAGGGGGAATCGCGTGAAGGTCGACCTGATAAGGTATATTGCTTGTAATGGGATTGTGAAACCCCATTACTGACAATTCCTTTCCACCCGATACAAAGGTATAGTCATACACAAAGTTTCGAGTAGCCGCAAGTACTGTATATCAATTGACAAGCAGACGTATAAAACTCGATAGCGTCTTGAGGGTTGATAAAATATTATGCAATAATTTAAAGCTCTTAACCCCAACACGTAAGATCTAAATTTAAACAAGCAATATTTTTAAATAGGTCACTTTGTTTAATCAGTTATAATATAAAAATCGCTCTTATGCCCTCGACTTAGAGATAATTTGGATGCAACAAAATATATTATTTCGAGTACTCTATTGCTTAGAACACAGGGTCTGTTTTAAAATATCAGATAGCGATATCCACAGACGGGGCGATGTTTGCTGGCAAACACTGGTTTGCTATCATAATAAACTTTATTACATTGAGTTAGGAGTTATTTTTGTTCTAGTTTTATGCAAATGTAAGTAGGCAGGGGACATGACAGCAGGAACCCGTGTGCGACGGCATGCAACGATACTGGATTGTACAGTTTACATGAGATTACAAAACGACAAGACTGTTCTAAAGATATCACAATTTTTTTTTCAATTTTAAAAACAAAAAATTAGCATTTGTAATTTTAAAATAAATAAAGAATATTAGGATTTTTAACAGAAAAAAAAAATCGGTGGAATATAAAATAATGTCCTTTATTTCAATAAAGTGAGTAGATAAGTAATTTTTAAACCCCATGTGATACGTAAGGTACCTCTTATGCTTTGTCCTTCTTGAGGTATGGAAGCACCTTCACATGCTTTAATTTCATTGCTATATCCCATCCTTCAAATTCAAACCTGGGATAATTTTTTTTTCTATTTCTAAACACAGATAAGCAAACACAACTGTTTCACGGCAAAAATATGAGTGTGACATACAGAGATTAAGTTTTTTTTTTTGCACCACGTATTATTCTTTAAATAATAAATACCTAGTATCGCATATTGGAGAGAAAAGATTGTTAATTTGTTAGTGATGCGAACTATCAGTCTTAATGCTAGCACTGTACCCTGTCAGGTCGACCTTCACGTCGTCCTTCCTGGAAATAATCGTGTTGAATTCCAGGTATATTCACCGCGATGGGCTAACTGACCTGCCTTTTTATTCTCACTTATCATCTCTCACCGGTGCCTCACTAGCATTCTTGTGTCTGTTCATTTAGACGACTTTGGTCTTGCTCTGGTAAATCGATCAATATTTTTATTATGTAAGTGTATAGATTGTTTTTATCCTTAAGTTTTATTTCGAGAAATTTATTCCAATGTGTATCACACCGTCGCGGTGCCATGCCACCGGGCTGACACGAAGCAGGCGGTGCCGGCCGCCTGTCTCACTTTTTTTCTTTTTTTTTTACTTTTTTTCCAAAACTTTTTTCTTCGTGAAATCTGTATCGCACGATACACGAGCTCTTTGCGTGGTCCACAAAAACAGCCTCGAGTTACGTGATGGTAAAAAATAAAGAAATGTTACGCTCAAACACAGCAACTGGCGACTGGAAAGTTGGTGGAATGCAATGCGGGCTTAGTTTTGCTTCGATTACAATGAATCGATGGTATTCACCGAGAATAATCTAAAAATCGATTGTAGCAGTATAATGAATTATGCATTTTAAACGATTATAACCTAATAATCGGTGTCCAGTATTGTTGATAGTTCCGATTATATAATTATCAATAATGTGTTCAAAATAATGTTAATTATTATCATTTGATCATAGCGAATGTATGGGATAGAATAAGATGGCGACGTACGCTGTCTTATTCTTTTTTACGTGAGCGATGACTGAAGCGATTCTCTCGATAGATTTTTTATGCAATATCGAATGACAATATTTGTTTTTACCTTGTCTAAGGGAAATGTATAGGTACTAACTAGTATTACAAAATTGCCAATTAGACAACAATAGTAGATGTAAACAAGTGAATAAAATGCAGCACAGCGAGCTGCTGACCACAAACAGCTGAAGCGGCTCCTATTACCAGCAAAATGAATTGTTTTATTTTCTTTTCTATTATTGTTTTCTTACGTGTTATTATTATTGTTGGTAATAAAGACTCTATATATCTAAATGTATCAGGAAGAAGATTTCTTAGTCGGTCAACTTAATCGAATAGTCGATAGTTTTTTTTGTTTTATGGGTGATAATGGAATGGTAACCCCATCCGCGCTATCGGTATACACCGGCGGGGAACCAGTGAAGGATGATAGGTGAGGATGAAGCAGGTCAGTTAGCCCATCGTGACGAATTCAACAAGAATTGTTCACGATGGTTTCCAGGGGGCACCACGTGGAGGTCGACATAGGGCATACTGCTAACAATGGGGCTGTCAAATTCCATTGCTAACAATCCCCTTCTCCCCCCGAATAATCGATAGTTAGATTAAGCTTACTAAGTAATCGATTACCAACCACTGTTAGACAACCCTATAGGTATTGCTACAATGTTGCCGATTAGATGTAAGTAGATGTAGTCAAGCGAATAAAAGCGTAAAGTCGGGACGTAGTTTTCTTACCCGGTAAGACAGGTTGAGAATTTGATCCGAGCCTACGATAAGTGCATACATTCATCAAATTCTTCTTTCAACCACTCCGTAGAAATAATCTGTTCTCTTTAAGCGACAAAGTAACTTGAGACGATTTTCTAGTCATTTCTATGTAATATAAATTTAAATTATAAATTCAAAGTGGAGTTTACATACTTTTTTTATTATACCACGAACGTATATCAATAATTACTAGTACTGCATTCGAGTATTCTGACACTTCCCTATGGTTCACTGGGAGAGAATGCTTTTAGCATTAAGTCGGCCATGTACACATATATGTACTAATGAATAAATAAATAAAAAAAAAATACAAACGAATTGAGAACTTTTTGGCAA